GTACAAAGTGCAAACGTGCAGATGTAAGAGTGCAAACATTAAACTAGAAACAATACAAGAAATCTAATAAATAAAACAGACAGACACAGTAAACAGACAGCACTCATTTCTGAACATGAGGTAGTGAGTATAAGATGCAGAGATATTTAACATGCTATGATATGTAGGTATACGCAGCCAGATTATAACATACATGAGTACAGCAGTTACTGAGGAAGAAATATACAGTACTTGAGCAGAATACAGTATTAGCAGCAATGTTTTGGATAGTGCAAGTAGGTTCGAGTGAGAGCATCAAAAGAGGTGTGTGAGTGTAGAGTGTGTGTGTGAGGGGGTTTTCAGATTAGTCCTTGTGAGTTTAATAATCTGACTGCTTGAGGGACAAAGCTGTTGCAGAGTCTGGCAGTGATGGCACGAATGCTCCGGTACCTTCTGCCAGACGGCAACAGTGAAAAAAGTCCGTGTGAGGGATGGATGGGGTCGTCCACAATGCTGGTGGCTTTGCAGATGCAGCGTGTGGTGTAGATGTCCATGATGGAGGGAAGAGAGACCCCAGTGATCTTCTCAGCTGTCCTCACTATTCACTGTAGGGTCTTGCGGTCGGAGGCATTGCAATTCCCAAACCAGGCGACGATGCAGCTGCTCAAGATCCTCTCCACAGTCCCCCTGTAGAGCAAGGAGAGGATGGGAGGGGGAAGATGAGCTTTCTTCAGTCTCACCAGGAAGTAGAGGCGCTGCTGGGCTCTCTTGGCTATGGAGTTGGTGTTGAAGGACCAGGTGAGGTTCTCTGTAATATGAACACCGAGGAACTTGATGCTGAGAGATGATGGTGTTGAATGCTGAACTGAAGTGTTCTGACATAGATGTCTTTATTGTTCAGGTGGGTGAGAGCCAGGAGGAGTGTGGTGGAGATGACATCATCTCTTCAGCAGTTGGGGCGATATGCAAATTGCTGTGGGTCCAGTGAAGGGGGAAGCTGGTCTTTGATGTGCCTCATGACAAGCTTCTCGAAGCACTTAATGATGATAGGAGCAAGCGCAACGGGATGGTAGTCATTGAGGCAGGACACTGGAGACTTCTACAGCACAGGGATGATGGTGGTCTCCATGAGAACATCTGCCAGCTGTTCAGCGCATCCTCGGAGCACTCTGCCAGGTATGCTGTCTGATCCTGGGGTTTTTCGTGGGTTGAGTTCTCGGCACATCAACAGTGGACAGACACAGTACCTGTTCATTTAGAGGAGGTGTGGTTTTCCTCACCGTCGTGCAGTTCTGTGCTTCAAATCAAGCATAGAAGTTATTAAGCGCATCTGAAAGGGAGGCATCACTGTCACAAGCAGGTGGAGTTGTCTTGTAGTTGGTGATGGCCTGGATGCCCTGCCACATGCGCTGTGTGTCAGCAATGTCTTGAAAATGTTCATGGAATTTCTTTGCATAGGCGCACTTTGCCTCTCTGATGGCCTGGGAAAGCTTGGCTCTTGCTGTTCTGAGGCCTGCCTTATCCCCTGACTTGAAGGCCTTTTCATGGGTTCTCAGCAGCATGCCCACCTCTGCAGTCCTCCATGGCTTCTGGTTGGGGTGTGTTGTGATGAGTTTGGAGAAAGTAACTTCATCAATGCACTTGCTCATGTAGCTAGTGACTGATTCTGTATACTTCTCCAGGTTGATGGAGTCTCCGGAAGTTGCTGCTTCTATGAACATCTCCCAATCAGTGTGCTCAAAACAGTCCTGAAGAGTAGAGATAGCTCCTGTGGGCCAGGTTCTCACTTGCTTCTGGTCCGGTTTGGCATGTCTGATAGACGGTCTGTATGCTTGCATGAGTATCACAGTGATGTGGTCTGTGTAAACGTAGTGGGGGTGGGGCTTGGCCCTGTTTGTGCCTGGGATGTTTATGTAAACAAGATCCAGCATGTTAGCCACCCGGGTTGCAAAGTTCACATGCTGGTGGAATTTAGGGAGCACTGACTTCAGATTAGGATGGTTGAAATTTCCACCAACAATAAACAGTCCATCTGGTTGTATGTTTTGGAGATCACTGATAGCGCTGTACAGCTCGTTCAGTGCGGCGTTAGCATTAGCACTAGGAGCTATGTACACCGTAGTCGGCTCCCTTGGCAAATAAAAAGGCCTGGCTCTGACAATTGCAAACTCCGCCAGCAGTGAGCAGTGACTAGAGACTAGCGCTGCATTTTTACACCATGTAGTGTTGATGTAAACATACAGGCCGCACCTTAGGTCTTATCGCACAGTTCAACATTTCTGTCCTCCTGGATAGTAATAGTAATATTCCAGTAAAAACAAAGGAAACAATAAAAATATAGTTAAACACTAAAGTAAAGAAACATGGGCCTTATTCACCAACCATTCTTAAGAAGAAATTTCTTCTTAAACCAACTTACACAGTTTTGACGAAGATTCTGACATTCACCAATGTTTTCTTATTTGGGGTTTGTTCTTAGGTAAGAACAGAAGCTACACACACTTAAGAGCACAAAGGTAAAAACAGTTCTGCGCTTTAAGAACACATCATGAGTCTGACGTAGACTTTTTTCATTTTTAAATAAAAAAAAAATTAAAATGGACAAACAGACAGACTTCCACATTGGCAAAGGAGTTAGACAAGGTTGCCCACTGTCTCCATTATTGTTTAACCTGTATGCAGAATATATGATGAGAGAAGCAGGACTGGAGAAGGATGATGAAGGATTCAGGATTGGTGGAAAAACGTCATGATACAACAGTTGGTCCCTTGCAATCTGATTGGTTGAGAAGCATAACCATGCTCATATTTGTGATAGCAGCACAGCCTTTTTACACCAAAACTGTATCACTCTGCTGACGCATTATCACGTAATGAGTGACATATTGCTAGGTAGCAATAAGCTTTATGCACACAAACCTTAGTTGTTTTGTATTTGTGCTTATACAAAAATGAGAAATTAATCAAATGGATGACTTTAAAATGAATCTGCCATTACCATTTGGAATTGTTACAATTGCATAGCAACAACTAGTTTGTTTTGGAACTACTTTTTGGTGGAAGGCATTGTCAGTATTAAATCACATTCAGTATGAAATCCAGGGCGTCTTTGATTTATATATAAACTTTTGTATAAAAACAACAGAATACTCAAGGTTATGTCATCACAGCTGTGATGTTGTTCATGATAGCACACTCCCTTTTATGTTCCACTACTTAAATAACCTTCAATGTATAAGGAAGGTTAAAGAACAGATTGTAAAACTCAGTATGAACAAGACAAAGGTTATGACGACAGGAAAGACAGCTAACTTCAATCACTAATGGATAAGATGTGGAAAAGGTGGACAGCTTTTGCCTACTCAGATTAACTATTAACAACGGAGGATCCAGCACTCAATAAACACAACACAGATTGACAGTCAGTAAAACAAAGATAAAGGAGCTTGAAAAGATCTTTGAGTGCAACGAATTGCCCCTACAAGATCAGCGTTGTCCAGGCTGTGGTCTTCTCTGTGGTTCTGTAAGGACGTGAAAGCTGGACAATAAACAAGCAAGACAGATCAAAGACCTTTGAACGTTGGCATAACCTTGGAGTTGTGAAAGTTATATTAATTAAAGTTTTTATTGCATTCTAATAAAATTGTAATAAAAATTATAACCCAGAACGTGTCACATTTCAAAAGTGGTTATGAGATTTTATCTATTTATAAACATGTATACACTATAGGGACAAAAGTATTGGGACAAACTTTGTAATCATTGAGTTCAAGTGTTCAAGTGCCAGGCTCTCTCTTCCAACATTATATAGATAGATAGATAGATAGATAGACAGACAGACAGATACATAGATAGAAAGATAGAAAGATAGATAGATAGATAGATAGAAAGAACTTTATTGATCCCGAAGGGAAACTGCAGTGTTACAGTGGCAAAACATATACTTACACATAAACTTGCATATATTAGGCAGAAATAAAAAATAGGAAAAAATCGATGTCTGATCTAACAAATGCTCTTCTGGATGAATGCGTGTGGAGCTCCAATATCAGCATATGAACTCAAAGTGCAAACATTCAGTTTTAATTTAAAGGTATTTACATCTAAATTGGCCCATTTTAGGGTGTCAAAAGTAACTGGAAACTCTCTGCTCTGCTGTTACATGGCCAGGTGGGTTTTTTCTCATTATATCACTTACATGTAAGCAGATAAAATAACTAGGAACGATTTCAAGTGTGGGACTTGCATTTGGAGTTTATTGCTTTTAACTCTCAGCTTCACTGCTCAGGGTGACTACAAAGGGTTTAGCACAAGATGTAAACCACTATTAAACCACAAAAGCAGAAAGACCAGATTACAGTTCTGGAATAACATCTAATGGACAGAAGACATCATGATTAATGTGTACCAGAATGATGGGAGAAAAAGAGTATAAAGAAGGAAAGGAACTGCTCATGATCCAAAGCATATTACCTCATCAGTCCAGCATGGTGGAGGTAGTGTTATGGTATGGGCATGTATGGCTGCCACTGAAACTGGTTCACTTGTATATATTGATGATGTGACTGCTGATGGAAGCAGCTGGATGAATTCTGAAGTGTATAGAGCTCTATCATCTGCTCAGATTTAGCCAAAAACACGATGAAAGCTTTAAGTGCTGTTTATCTGATGGGGACAGTTTTGGTGTCTACCATGTCTTCCAGGTGGTTGTTAGGAGCCCCATTTTCTCTGTAGCTTTATACTATTTTTTGAACTCCAGTTTTGGAAACAGAGTTTAATAAATGCAAGGATGGTCTCTGACCTTTTGACCATACTGTACTTTTCTTTTGTACAATTGTGATGGGTTGACACTATTTTCAAAGAAAATCTGACCATGTCCACGTAGTTTGTCCTGTCTTCCTAAAGACTGTGAGTGTATTTTCATCTGCCTGCAGAGAGGTGTTTGTGGTGAACTGGGTGTGCTTGCAGGCATCTACAGCACATACAGATGCAGCAGAGTGGCAGACAATGGCAGGAAATGGGGCAGAAGTTCATGTAACTCGCATGTACACTTCAGTAAAGAGACACTGAGAGCTTCAGGCTGCAGGAGATCACACACAGGTAAGAGCTGAACCACATGCTAGTATTCAAAGAGGTTGGAAAAAAAGCAAAACAAAACAAAAAAAAAATTAAAAGAAGGGCAAGAAATTTAGTTAGCTTTTGGAATTTTTTTAATAATTAGAATATAAATAATTTGGTGTAATGCATGCTGTATATAGTCATGCATTACAGTAACATCACAGCAACACCTTACAGTATAAGTTCTTGTAATGACATTACAGTTACTGATGTACTGACTTCAGAATTATGTTACTAGCATCAAACATGGCTAACATAGTACATCTATCTATCTATCTATCTATACATACATATATATATATATATATATATATATATATATATATATATATATATATATATATATCCATTAGCATTGGCATAGTCTTGGTCAAACTTTATATTGTAACTGGAAGCAGTGGTGAAGTTATTCTCTTCTATCTCATTCAGAATCACCACTTAGTCATCTGAACATAAACTTAACTTTATTGAATGAAAACATAGTAATAATTCTGATCTCTTCTCAGGGGAGATCAGAGAGGGAGATCACTTTTAACCAAATGTAAATTTAAATCTGACAAGTATTGTTGACTATTTGCAAAAATTAAACATTAAATTTATCTTGAGTATATTGGCTGTTCTAGCAAAATGTATTTTTTATATTTGTTTTATGTTATCATGTAAAATATTATTTAATTGTTATGCTAGTTATGTTTATACCTTTACTGCAAGCATAAAAAACAAAAATGAAGGAAGTGCAACAGTGAACATGTAACTCTGAGCTTCACCTGTGTGGGAACTGAAAATGAGTAACTACCACTCTGTGCTGTTTGTTCAGGAGTCTTTTCAAATGAAGCTTTGAAGACCAACAGTTTACATCATCACTCAGAGACTAAACACATTGATTATGAAACTCAACCTGTTGGCTGAGCCAGTACTCCAGAGCCTTCCTCTCTTCAGCCTGACATGCAGCACTCCCAAATCGCTTCCAAATCAGCCTTCATATTAGGGGAACACCTGATGCAGAGAAAGGACTGCTTTATTCTGTTTATTCTGCTTTTGCTGATACTCAGTGTTAATTCAGCTTCAAATTCTCTCACACAAAATCATCAAACTTGACTGGTCTCAACAACAATTTCCGAGTTCTCCTCCTGGAGGCTTTAATGTAATGAGGATCAATCAAACACGACATACTAGGTTAGGGTCAAAACCAGACAGAGGCTACTAACAATCATTAGAGACATTAAAGGGATAGTTGAGGGCCAAACAGAGGTCAAAACTGAAAGGCAAAACATGAGAAAAAGTAGACCAAGCCAAAAAGGGCAAAGACAAAAAGGAGGTCAAAAAACAAGTCACGTCAAACACAGAGTAGCACTTTGCACTAGAACAAACAGTGACAACACTTTGCAAATGAGTGAGCAAAGTGAACCAGTCTTTACAGGGTAGAGTTGATGACAGGTGTGGTTGGTTTGAATTCAAGTGACCATCAATTGATGCTCTCCTAGAGGATTCTGGGAGTCTGGATCAGTGTCCAGAGTGTTAATGACATATCTAGTCATGCTAATGAGTTTTCAGTAAATCCTCATTTTCAGTGCTGCCGAGTGTTGGGTAGGGAGTAAAAAAACAATACAATTACAGTTAATTAAAAAATAAAAGTTCAGTCTTAGAAGTTGGTTGCATTTTCTGCTTTTTCACAACAGGACTGACTCAGACTGCCAGTTTTGCTTTGAAATCAGTGCCAATGCAGCATATTTTTACAAGGTACCACTTTACAATAAGTCTACCACTATAAATCGTTCATGAATGAGTATGGAAGTAGTTTCTTAATGATCTAACTAATGCCTTCATTCTTCCAATGCTGCCTTAACAGCTAATAATTCTTGGTAACCAACATCATTGTTTCGTTCGGTAGGAGTGAGTTTTCTAGAGTAAAAAGCACATGGGTACATTTTCACGAGCATGTTGTGGTGTTGTGACAGCCCCTATCCTTGTGTTGGATGCATCCACTTGTACAGTAAAAAGGTAGGGTGGCGTCTGGATGTTTCAGGATGGGGCAGTAGTAAATCTGGACTTTAGTTGCTTAAAGGTACTATCAGCGACCTCATTCCACTTTAGGGATCTGGGTTTTCCCTGTAATAATGATGTCAAGGGGGCCGCAATTGAGTTAAATTAGAAAACCCTAAAAACCTTTGTAATTCTTTGACAGAGCAAGGAACTGGCCAGTCTGTAACAGCTTTCACTTTGTTAGCATCCATATGTACCCCCTGAGCACTGATGATGTAACCCAGAAAGGAAATCAAGGATTTGTGTAACTCGCATTTCTCCAACTTTGCATGTCACAAAGCCCTTAATTGCTGAATGATTGGAACACAGTGGGGGCGTTTACGAGCCCGTATGGCATTATTGTATATTCATCGTGTCCATTATAGTGACAAAAGTCGTTTTCCATTCATCCCCTTCACAAATGTGAATTAAGTTATAGGCACTATGGAGGTCCAATTTGGTGAAAACTGTGGCTTGGCAGACTTGTTCTGGGGTAGAAGCCTTTGAAAAAGAAAGAAATGGTACTATACAGAAATTGTACTATACAGTAATGGCATTCAAGCCCTGATAATTAATGCATGGTATCAACCCAAAATCTTTTTTTCTCAATAATAAACTCCTGCAGTTGGGGAAGTACAGGGATGGATGTATCCCCTTTCTAAGACTTGAAACAACAAAAATTGTTTTTCACTGGTCAACCAACCATCTTTAAAAACACAAACAAACAGTAGAGGTTATTCATATTCAATTTCTCCAGTTTATACATCAGTATGCATGTATTTTGTTTTACAAAGTTAAACACTGTTATAATAACGATAATCATATTGAAAGTGAAAAGGTTCATACATCTCTCATCTGCTGTGGTTTTCTATCATACAGCATGTTAGAACCGTTGTGCTTCTCAGAAAAACATCATTAGATATTAATGATTGTGTTTGGAACATGCGTTAATGTCATATTTAATGATTTATGGGGCATGTATTTCACCCTAAACAGGCAATGAATCCTGCAACCGTTGCAAAAGTAGCATCAGCAGCATCAGCTGTTTTTGCTGGCGCGTCCCTGTTCGGCACCGGTGTTGAGCAAATATCCCGCAGAATAGACACAAGCAGAAATGTCACCATTCAGATCACCAATTACAGTGATGAATTCACCTTAACAAATCCAAGGTAAGAACAAATGCATGTTGTCACCGAGTGTCAGACTGAAATGGGCTTCTGTGTTATTGACTTGCAGAACTTACTGTCACTGGAAATATCCCAGGTGTGGTTGGTAGGATTCTGCTTGGTGGTTGCTATGGTATCACAGATAGTTGCTTTGTTTTGGTGTTCCAACTGGTTGTTAGGGTGTTGCTAGGTGGTTATTATGGTGTGCCAGGTGGTGACTAGGGTTGTTTCTAGGTGGTTGCTAATGAATCCCAGGTGGATGCTAGGGGGTTGCAGGTGGTTGCCTTGGTATACCAGGTGGTTGCTAAAGTGCTGCTAGGTGGCTGCTACGGAATCACAGATTGTTACTAGGGTTTTGTACCAATGGCATCTGAGATGACTTCTAGGGTGCTGCTAACCAGGTAGTGCTAATGAATTCCAGGTGGTTGCTAGGGGGTTGTGTTGGTTTCCCAGATCGTTTCTAGAATGTTGGTAGGGGGTTGTTCAGTTTGATTTGCATCCTGAATCAGTTTGCAGTACAGAACAGTCTTACTGCAGAGATGTGAGCTGGCTGAAATCCCGCAGGAGGTGAAGAACCATGCGAAAAGCAAATCCAGTAGTGCTGTTGTTAAGATACCCTTATTAGTCCCACAACAGGGAAATTTCACCTGCACAACCTAACCCATCCATGCAGTGAAACACCACATATACACTAGTAAACACACATTAGGGTGCAGTGAGCACACTTGCCCAGAGTGGTGGGCAGCCCTATCCGCAGCCCCCACTGGGGGTTAGGTGCCTTACTCAAGGGCACCTCAGTCACGTACTGTCAGCTCAGGGGATCGAACCGGTGACCTTCAGGTCACAAGTAATAAGCTTGCTGAAAAAAGCAGTGAATGTAATATTCATGCTTTATGTGAAACTTTATGAGCAGCCACCAGAACTTCCTACTCTCCTGATGCCAAACTGAAAATAAGTTCACAATTCTTTATAAATTAAATTAATAATAATGAAATAAGAAACAATAAGAAGAATAAGGACACTTTGTAGGTTGGTCACACGCATATCAAAGATGAACTGATTTTGCTGTAGCACAAAGGAAAGGAACTGACACCTAAAATCATCATACTGCTCAGAATCTTATTATACTTGTGAATTTGTGTATTGTATACTTTCCCTTAATGTCCCTCAGCCTCACACTGTCTGTCTGCCTGTTACCTGCTACAGATCTGTATTCTACACTATGATTTATTATCTTTCTTTCCATATACCAGGACCCACAACATCAGTGGCTGCTGTTACCATCCTCCACAACCTACCATTGCAACAAAGACGCAAGAAACATGCTCATTTTCCAAAACTTCATATGCAGCCTGTGGTTCTGTTGGAGTCTTGACGTATCAAATCCGCAGGAATGAAACAGACCATGTTGGCGAACTGGCCATCATGTTCTCTGTGCCTTATGACTACAACGTTTATGAAAACTGGTTCGCTCTTGGCATATTTGAAGCAAATATTCCATGTGATTATGATCTATTCAAGAAGATGTATTATGATAATGTTGTTGATGATGGTCCATTCACCAGAGACAAAGGTGCAGGGGGTGTCATAACATATTCTGGAAAAGGAGCTCTGGTGAAGGGAACAATGTCTGCTTTTGGCCAATCGATTATTAAGGTTGAATTGTGGGATGAGGATCTTGCCAAGGATCGTACCAAAACTGAACAGGCAAACTGACCCATGTCAGTACAGTGCAAAAGTCTTAGGCTATCTAAGTCCAGCATTAACAGTTACCATCCAATATGTAGTTTATCTAATCAGTCCTTCATTAAATTAAATCAGGTGATGAATTGAACAAATCTATGTGACGAACCAAACCTGTGTTCTTCTAACTGTCTTCATCTAACCTGTATATTCATAACTGTACTGACAAAAGCATGTTCCTTCTACTGTATTTATGTTTATTCATATTGATTTTGAATAGTATTACAAAAGCAGAATACTTTGTGTAGTTCTGCTCAACATGTTTATATTTATGAAAAGCACTATGGATCCTGAATACGGTCTCTTTCTGGTCTTTTCTCTGCCTGTTGTGACTCTTTCTCTTAAACATTGCTTGATGTTTACTGAGAGACATTATTAAAGAGATATTAATAAACTGCTTGCTGTTTTCTTCATTATGAGTTATTGAGTATCTGTGTACATGGTCATCACCAGTGTGAGGACACTGAGGTCCAGACCTTGATAGTTTCTAAAGGAATCATGAGATTCAGTGTGGAAACAGTGACGCTCTGATAGTGAGACAGCTACATTACACAGAGTGACTCTGACTTCCTAAAATGTTTAAGTGTGCAGCAACACACTGTAGGCCAACATATGACATCACTAGGATATAAATATGAGCTTTCATGAGGGCAGTTACAGAATAAGTTTCTAAGCAGCTTATTCTTCTGGGTCACTTGTACGTTTCATCCATTAAAAACTAATAAACCAAATAAATAAATAAACTGGAGTGACATTCTAATTGCTAGCGACTAGTGATTTTTTTCACCTGGCTCATAAAGAATAAGGGAGAAAAAACACCAAAAACTGCTTTAAAAGTTTGTTTAACATGCCAAGTGCTAGCCTTTTTAATACTGCAGTGAAAAAGAAATCGTAAGTAAGATTTTTGTTGACGATTTTAATGGTTGAAATTGAGCAAGTGATGCTAGAAATATTTTTTTAGCTCCTTTTAGTATATTATGTAAGAGGTAAACTCACTACTCATTACTTTATTTCTGAGTTCCTCTCTAAAACACAAACATATCTGTACCAGTCTTTTAGGTAAACAGACACATGCTAACAGTAAGTTAGCTCAGTTAACTTTACTAGCCTAACCTTTTTTCAGCTTGTATCTTTCAGTTTCAAAGCAACCTGTCTGTGAAGAGGTCGTAAACAAATGCCAGGAATGATAAATGGTGCTTAGTAGTGCTCTGCTACATGACACTAGGCAATGCTGTCCAGTGTGTGACAGCCTTCATGCTGTTTGAGAAAAAACATGACTCACCTTCCTCCGATGCTAATTGCACTTCTCAGCTGCCAAACTCCCAGAATACCCCGGGAGTTGATGTGACTCTGACCTCTCAGGCATCAGACTATCATACAACCCCATTTCCAAAAACATTTGGGATGCTGTGCAAAATGTAAATAAAAACAAAATGCAATGATGTGGAAATGATTAAAACCCTATATTTCATTAAAAATAGTACAAAGACAACATATCAAATGTTAAAACTAAGAAATATTATTGTTTTTTGTAAAATATTTGCCCATTTTGAATTTAATACCAACAACACGTTCCAAAAAAGTTGGGACAGGGGCAACAAAAGGCTGGTAAAGTTGTGTAATCCTTTAAAAAAACACCTGGTGGTTGATTGGCAATAGGTCAGTAACATGATTGGGTAAAAAAGAGCATCCCAGAGAGTCTTTCAGAAGTAAAGATGAGGAGGGGTTCACCACTCTGTGAAAGACTGCACAAGCAATCAGTGCAACAATTCAAAAATAACGTTTCTCAACATAAAACAGCAAAGAACTTTTGACTTTCATCATCTACAGTGCATAAAAACAATAAAAGATTCAGTGAATCTAGAGAAATCTCTGTATGCAAGGGACAAGGCCAAAAACAGTATTTGCTGGCCATGATCTTTGGGCCCTTAGGTGGCAGTGCATTAACAACAGACATGATTTTCTAGTGGAAATCACTGCATGGGCTCAGGAACACTTCTGAAAACCACTTTCTGTGAAAACAGCTCATCGTTGCAACCACAAATGCAAGTTCAAGCTCTAAAACGCAAAGAAGAAACCATATATAAACAGGATCCAAAAATACTGCCACCTTCTCTGGGCCCAGGCTCATTTTAAATGGACTGAGGGGAAGTGGAAAAGTGTCCTGTGGTCTGACGAACCAACATTTGGAATTTTTTTTTTAGGACTTTATTTAACTGACAAAAATACAAAGACATTATTTGGCTATATTTTGGTTGATCAACTTAATTGTATTTTGTAAATCTAAACAATTTAGTTTAATTTGATGCCTGCAACACCCACTAAAAAAATTTGGAACGCAGGCAAAATAAGTTGGGTGGAATATTCAAGGTGAGGGTATCATGATTGTGTCGCATCCACCAAAGGCTCAGTCTTTATAGGTAAAACTGGGTTGTAGCTCAACCCTTTGTGCCAAACATCATGAGAGAATTGTCAAACAGGTCAAAAAGAAGATTTTTCAATGCAAGTTTGCAAAGAATTTAGGTCTTTCACCATCTACCATACATAATATGGTGAAAAGATTCAGGGAATCTGGAGAAATCTCAGGCTGTGTAGAGCAAGGCCAGAAACCACTGTTAAATGTTGGGTGACCTTCAAGCCCTCAGACAGCATTGCATAAGACATGCTACTGTGCCACATGGGCTCGGGAGTTGTCACTTAACACAGTCTACCGCTGCATCAAGATGACATTAGTTTATTCAATTAATTTTGGGGCATTAAAATTGGGGGACAATTATAAATGTTTATAATTCATAAGCCATTCACACTGTTTGGATGTAGATGCATTCATATTAAAGGCAAAAGCTCTGAGCTCATATCCATTGTTTTATTTCACCTCCAATATGCTGTGATAGACAAAATAAAACAATAACTGTCATTGTCCAAATATATGTGCACCTGACTGTACAAGTTAATCATTTTTCAGCATGAAGAAAAAAGCAATAAACATATTTAAGGAAACATTACCCAGAAGCCTCAGCAGCTAGATCTAATCTCAGCTGTTTGAGTGTTCAGTGAGTCACTCTTTACTTTTATTCCAGCTTCCATTCGTTTCAGGAGACTCACTTTCAGTTTCTCAAAGAAATCTGCAGACACACCTCCAAAGTTCAGTCTTAGAAGTTGGTTGATCATTTTCTGAAGTGAGCAAACACATTCAGTGATGTTGAGGTCTGGACTCTGGGGTGGTCAGTCCATTGTTCAGCTTCTTTGTTTGATGTGTCGTCTCCTTTTCTCAGTGAGGCTTCTTTTTGAACAGCTACACATCCTGTCAGACCCACAGTGCTGAGTCATCTTCTCACAGTGGAAGGATGGACAGAAACACCTGTGGATGTTTTCAGATCTGAAGCAGCTTGATTTTCTTCTCTCTCTCAAAGATCAAAGCTTTAAGTGTTGTTTAACTGATGGGGGCAGTTTTGGTGTCTACCAGGTCTTCCAGGTGGTTGTTAGGAGTCACATTTTCTCTGTAGCTTTCAATCAGATTTTAAACTCCAGTTTTGAAACTTTACTTATTTTCATTTTGACTTTCTCCTCAATCTGCAATGTGGACAATCACATATCAAATCTACTCGCAAATTTCTTAATTTTAGATGTACCTAAGAAAGCTATTATGACTACACATTAAATAAACGTTGTGATGCATTGCCCCTTCCCAAAGTGAAACAGACTGTACGGTTTGTTCTGTCTTGCTAGAAGAGAGGTGTTTGTGGTGAGCTGAGTGTGTTTGTGAGCATCTACAGCACAAACAGATGCAGCAGAGTGCAGACAACGGCAGGAAATGGGGCAGAAGTTTATGTAACTCACATGTTCACTTCAGTATACAGACATTGAGAGCTTCAGGCTGCAGGAGATCACACACAGGTAAGAGCTGAAACACATGTAAAGTATTGAAAAAGCTAAAAATCTAAACAAAACCAAAAGCTTATGCTTACAGAGGGGAGCAAGAAATGTAGTTGCAGCTGTTAGTAGTTTGTTTCAAGAATATGTTTGAATGCAGTTGTTTAGTTGTACATAGTGAAAAGGCAAAGCTTAAGTTTATCAGGTCAGATAGTCATTTTTTTAGAATTCGTTTTGATTATTGCATAAAAAGTTTGGAGTAAAACTGTATAAAGTAATGTGTTATAGTAATATGACCGTTTAATACCGTCATGTGGTTGTAAAATGCATTACAGCATAAAATCTTGTAACCACACTATAGTTACTGACTTAAGGAGAGTAACAGTATTAGCATTACTCATATGTGTCTAGCAGAGCAACATCAATTACAGACCATGCATTCAAATTAGAAACTTCCTCTATATAGATTATCTTTGTATGTAATCTGTGCACACATATGATACAGCTTCTCGTTTTCAGTGCACCTTAGCGAACTGGGGGGGGGGGTCTTGGAGTGCACATAAAGCAACAACATTACTACTAATTGAAAAATAAAAGTTCAGTTTCAGAAGTTGGTTGCATTTTCAGCCTTTTCACAACAGGACTGATGAGACTGCTGGTTTTGCTTTGAAATACAGTCAATACAGCACAATTTTACTTTATAATACTACTAATCTGCATTAATGGTTTATGAAAGTAGTTTCTGAATGGTTATTATGGTAACACTTTCTATGAATGTCACATTTGTAAGCATCTATAAACACATTTATAACATGTTACAATGCATTCATAAGGCATTACAAACATGGTTATAAATATTTATAAAAATGAATTACACTGAATTACACTTTATAGTCATGTTTATTATACATTATGAATTGTTAATATAATGCGTTATAAGTAGTGTTAATAACATGATATGCTGTCAGTGCCAAAGAAGTCAGTCCCAGCTTGGAGAGTTTAAAGATAAACATAAAGTTTATTTACGTCCTGAGATTTCCAGTATTTCATTTCTCAGTGTTGGTGCTGTCAGGGCTTCAGTCCTGAATATTCAGATGCTTCATACAGGCTGTACAGCCCAGAGTTATTGCTACAATGTGCTTTTCTTAGCCAGCGCTCCCAGTTTAAACACTACATTACATCACTGCAAACCAAGTACCCATCAGCTCCCCTGAACCACCTCTGACATCACACTGAGCGTGAAGTCACTGTGGAGTGAAGGCCTGGAGAGGAAGAGGCGAGTGCTGTCACTGAAATTTGTTAGAATTAGAAACCTTCACTCTGTAACAACACTGTACTACAGTACAGTTATGCTAATTTCTGCTAGCATTCTATTGGATATGCAGTGTTGAGTTGGTGCCAAGCTAACGGTGGTGTACCTTTTGAGGTTTGTTCAAATCAATAACTATTAATATTCCCATTTCAAATGATTCATAAAACATTTATAGGGGTAGTTTTATTGTTAAGTGGTATTAGAAAAGTACAGCATTGTTCACAGAAATTTACAAATTGCACTTGTGTTTCTTTAATTTCCAGTCAAAACAGCCAATAAGCACAAATTATTGAAGATTCTGGAGATATTTGTGAGGAGATATCACATATAACAATATACTCTGACATAAAACAATAAAACTGTAAAATAGCAAAATATGCCTTGAAATAATTAAAGAATAAATGAGAAAATTAAGAAAACAATCAAAGCAAGCAACTAAGAACAATACAGTAAAATAAAGAGCAAAGTAATCCAATCCAGATTGAGAGAAGTAATTTGTAATGAATTACTTTTTTAAAAACCCATACACTGAATACAGTTAAGTGTTGAGTGATGTAATGCAACATAACTCAAGTTTTGCATGGATCTGCAGACTGTCCATCTTTTTTAAAGGAGAGCTTGCTTAGTCTGAAACGCCCACTGTATTAATTCAGTGATTTTTAACAACCAGTGATTAGAAAGGTAAAGATAAAAAACATGGATTAAATTTCCGCTTAATTTATGTGGCATTTGCAGTCTGAAAATTGATTTAATCGAGTGGCATGTAAGTGGGCTAATATTTTAAGAAATAGCTATAGTTTTTTTATGTACAGCATGTCTTGTGCTTTGAAGAAAAACATAATTAAACAAAAATGAACATTTATGGGCCACGTTTAAGGGACATGGCTAATGTTTTACGAGACATCATTTTTCCACTCTCAACAGGCAATGAATCCTGCAACAGCTGGATCAGTAGCATCAGCTGTTTTTACTGGCGCTGACCAAATATCCCGGGGCATAAAGACAAGCAGAAATGTCACTATTCAAATCACCAATTACAGCGATACATACATCTTAGCAAATCCAAGGTAAGAACAGATGAATGTTGTCAGTGAGTGTCTCTCAGACTGAACTAATTATCAGAGAGATTGTTGATAAAACCTGGAGGCACTTTAATAAAAACTGCAAAACGTAAAAAAAATAAAATAAAAATTAAAAAAAAAACTGGACAAAAGCATTTCCTGAAGAAACTGATTGAAAGTGATTGTTCAGTTTAAACAATTCTCAGAAGGCTGCTATGCTGTTGCTAGGTGGTTTCAAGGGTATTGCTAGGTGGTTGCTAGGCTGTTGCTAGGTGGTTGCTATGACATTACAGATGATTGCTAAACTATTGCCATGTGGTTGTTATGGTGTTCCAAGTGGTTACTAGTATGTTGCTAAGTGGTTACTATGGTATTCCAGGTGGTTACTGTGGTGTTGCTAGACGGTTGGTATTGTGTTCCAGGTGGTTGCTAGGGTTTTGCTAAGTGGTTGCTATGGTATCCAAGATATGAGTTTTACATTATGAAATATACTCTCTCTTTCTGCATAACAGGACCTACACCTTCAGTGGCTGCTGTCACCATCCTCCCCAACCTACCATCGCACAAAAGACACAAGAGATATGCTCGTTTTCCAAAATCTCATACACGGCCCGTGGTGCTGTCGGAGTCCTGACATACCAAATCCTCCAGAATGAAGAAGAACATGTCGGTGAACTGGCCATCATGTTCTCTGTGCCTTTTGACTACAACTTGTACAAAAACTGGTTTGCTCTTGGCATTTTTGATGCAGATATTCCATGTGATCTTAATCTGTTCAAGCGGATGTATTATGACATTGATGGTCCATTCACCAGAGCCAAAGGTACCGGGAGTATTATAAAACATAAAGACAGGCCACTGGTGAAGGGAACAATGTCTGCTTTTGGCCACTCGATTATTAAGGTTGAATTGTGGGATAACTAACAGTCTTGCTGCCTTTTACCAAACAGACCCAGGCCTGAAACAGTGCTGAAGTCCATCTAGTGTTAACAGTTACTATACTGTACATAGTTTATCTAATCAGTCCTTCATTCATTTATATCAGTTGATAGAATTGAACAAATCCACACTGCTGAGAGTTTGTGAAAAAAAATAGATGCCTAAAACTTTTGCAGAGGACTGTATATGATTTAAGTACTAATTAAATACTGGAAATCTGAGCCTTGATAAACTAGCATGTAAACCTCTTAATATACGTTGTGTAGTTCTGCTCTGCATGTTTATATTTTTAAAAAGCAATATAAATCTAGAATACTGTCTCTTTCAGGTCTCTTCTCTGTCATGACTCTTTCCTTTAAACATTTCCATTACTTACTGTTTACTCAGAGGCATTACTAAGAGATATTATTAAACTTGCTGCTGTTTTCTTCATTCTGAGTTATGAGTTATAGGGGGTCCCTGAAAATAAACTTATTATGACAATGTACTGTCATTGTTGAACTGCTTCACAGACAGTTGACAAGCTTCTGTCTTTGGTGTTCTTAACTAACTAAGGATGCAGCACTGCTCTGCCTCTAGGTGGCGCTGTAGCAGACTGGTTTAGCCATTTGGTCCGTCATAGTCTTGCAACTGTAACTCTGCCCAGAAGGTTTACAATATGCCGCAACATATTTGTAAATCTGAAAATAAAATGTGCACAATTCTCCCAAGAGTTTAGTGTAATGAGTGACTGTTCCTCAATTCGTAAAACCAACCTGTGTAAGATCTCAGTTAATGTGAGAAAGACAAACTAGAAAAGAGCACACAGAGTAGTGTGTATCCATATATGTATATAGATACACACTACTCTTTAACGTTTGTTTAATTATGTGTTCACTGATTTGCCTGTAGACTGCAAGTGACTGAGATTACAACATGAATGAGATTAAAAACCTATATAATTGTAGCTCTTGCTGGGCCTTCAGTGCAGTGAATTCAGTGAGAGTCTCATAGGACACCCATAGATATAAAGGCATATGCAAAAGTTAGGGGCACCTGGTCAAATTACATGTTGGGCTGAGTGTTGAAGTGAAAAGAAATGAACACTGTTCATCTCAGCAGTGTGGATTTGTTCAGTTCTATCAACTGATATAAATGAATGAAAGACTGATTAGATAAACTATGTTTATTAAAGTAAAAGCCATTTTGGAGCTGTTGATGGAAATATTTAATAAAACATTCCCTGATTAATAATCAATAAACTAAATATTGGCTAACTTGAGCATTTGGAGATCTCCTAAAAAAGGTAACATTGGGGAGCAGGCTATAGATGCATCTGGAATATCACCTCTAAAGGGGATGAACTCAATGAACTCTTGAACTCACAAAGAAACTGTACAAATTATAGCTACAAATTATAGCTGAAGTGAAGGGAATTGTATCAGATGACAGTATAAATTATGGCCGAAGTGAAACTCATAAAAGGGAATTGCATTAGATGACAGTACAAATTATAGCTGAAGTGAACTCCTGAACTTGGGTGAAGAAGCTATGTAAGATGTCTCTGTAAGGATGGAAAAGCCTGGTACAACCAGGTCAGAATGGTTTTTAAAAAAAGGACATCATGAGCGTTTGGTTTTAAGGGTTGTCAAAAAGGGTGCTGATGTTAGCAAGTTTGCGTGGGTGAAAAGCCCCTGAAAAATGTGGAGAACACATAACAAGCAGTTAAAATAAACAGTACAAATTTACAACAGAAAATCAGTTCTACAGGGAGATTCACTCGAAAGAGGCCCCGAATATTCTGTTTTAACTCCTGTTAGGATGAAGCAATCTGAACCAAAGAAATCCGCTACATACCTTGACATATGTGTAATCGATTGCATTGATGCAATGCTGGAAGTGATCTCCAAGCACATTTCGATGCGGCGCTTCACGTTTCTGAATGTATCGGCAAGCATTAGAAAGGTTAAACGTCATGACGACTGTCCGGCGCCACCTCATCACTCCGATGCAGGGGCATCCCAGCTTGTTTGAAGCTCCATATACTGAGGAGCACATTGCACACTGTTTCGTTCAGATTGCTTTGTCCTAGAGAGAGTTACTACAGAATATTCGGGGCCTCTTTCGAGTGAATAACAATGAATGAAGCTAGCTTGTTTTGCTGGTGTTATTGATCGTACTCCAGACATTGAAAGAGCTATATTAGAGGAACTTGCAGGCGGTTTATAAGGGCTTATCCTTGTTAGCACTGCAATAACCTGCAAGTTTAACAGGTTTTCCCCAAATGTGTATTCTCAAGATGAAAGCACAACTGACCTGGTGACCTGTAAAAGATGTAGTCAATTTTGTTATTTTGATGTACATTGTTTTTTACGTTTCTTAATTATTTAAGTGTAAATAAATGTCATGTCAAATTTACATTCTTACAAATGATGATTGCAGTGTTCAATCAAAAAGTGAACTTCACTGACTAGCGCATATGTAAGTGTGCTATCTGAGTAAATTTAAAGTGTTAAAGTAACTGTCTGGCAAAAGACTACATTCACAGCCTGACCACCCCAGCTATACCCCAAATAAAGACATTTGTTATCTGACATATATTTGGTTTCACACTGGACCCACAAGGCTAATGTAAGTGTCTAAACCAGTTTAGTTGAGGTAAAAGGGGACAGCTGTGCAATCAGTTTGATTCAATTATGTTTTTTGTCACGCCTCCCTCTGGCTGACAGCTGACACAGCCACCTCAGACTACAGTTCCCAGAACCTCTCGCTGGGTCACATGACTCAGGACTCAAACTGATCCACCTATCAACGCTCTTCATCACCGGACCTCTGAGTACACACGCCTGTTTCCCCAAGTATATAAACTACCTGTCTGTAAGGACTTTTTTGCGAAATATAATCTCCCTGTTGAGCGTACCAAGCGTTCCTTTGTTGTCTGTCCTCTCCTTTTTGTGTATGACCTGTATCTCATTTATGACCTCGATTTTTGCCTTGCCCTCATGCTCAGCTCTGGATCTCTGCTTTTCGACTTTTTGCTTCTGTTTTTCAACTGTGCTTTTGGATCAACCCTCTGATATTAAAATTCTACTAACTTGGAGCAAAACACAATCTGAGCAGGAACTATTCTACTTGATTGTCACCATGTGAAAGGTTTACCACTGAGCAAAAACACTTGAATTTAATTATCAATGCAAGACCTGTCAACAATTCATGCTATGTTGTGTCGATTTAGAGTGAAGAAGGGGTGCATTATTCTGGTTGTGGTGAATCTCAGAACAGTGTGATCTTTCTATGTAATAAACACAAACACTCTTCTGTTAAATCATCAATGCAGAACATTCACTCTGCACACCAAAAAAAATCTAGTAAAATAGCTTGTAAATAATAATCACAACCATAAAAAACAGTGACTGTGGTCTGAAGCCATTATACTGTTATTGAAATTCGTGGTATCAAAATGCTTATGAGAGAAACATGTATTTTAGTGTGTTTGCGTGTTTACTAGCATATAACATCAGCATTTTATACACACCTTGTTTTGTAAATGTTGTTGTCTTTATTGTTATTGTTTGTGCTCCCTGCTCCTCCTGTCTCATGATACTTCAGAAACCTCAGAATGAACCGCTCACATGACCACACTGAAAATGGAAGAGTGAGAACAGAGAGAGAGAGAGGAGATGAACGTAACAGAGTGCCGTCCTTCAGCTAAACAGGATGTGTGAGGTTTGTGTGAAGTTTTTCTATGAACTGAAGCAGAAAAAAATATCTGCCTGCAGCTGCTTCCTGTCTCACCTATGAGTTATTTACTCAGTGTTGATGATCTTTAATCTATTAGTGTTTGTGTCTCATTAAATGCACAAAACCTTTAACATAATATAAGGATCATCAATTTTAATTTTCCTGAACACTAAAATCATTCAAATGTTGGGAATTGTAATACATACTACAATCTAATAAACCTTCACAGATTTCAAATAATTAGGAGGAAAAGTTAGACGTGTCAAGAACGATGAACAGTTGAAGCATACAACATTAATATGATAATAATACAGGGAGATTCACTTGAAAGAGGCCCCAAATATTCTGTAATAACTCTCGCTAGGATGAAACAATCTGAACAAAACAACATGCAATCTGCTCCTCAGTATATAGAGCTTCGAACAAGCCTGGATGCCCCTGCGTCAGAGTAATGAGGTAGGCGCCGGACAGCCATAGCGAATTTTAACCTCCGTTTGCAACTTCCGGGTGCAGACCCCCATACCCCTTCATATGTCTGTCAGAAAACAGAGATCACTTCCAGCATCACACGTAATGCAATCAATTACACATGCAATCAATTACACCTTTGGTTTTAACTCCTGTCAGGTGTCTAATGGCAGAAAGGTCTTAGCAGAGGTGCCAGACTAAACCTACCATCGATATTGGCCAGCAGCAAAATAGGATAATGCCATTGCTGGATCGTCAAAGAGATGACCATGGCAAGACATCAATTCAACATCTCAGAAGAAGGAACTGTCAGATCACATCTATCCTTTTTAAGAAAACCGCATGGATAGACACAACAGAATGATTGTCGAGTGCCAGAAGATGGGACCCAATGGTCAGAATGCACTCAACTTACTACTAAGTAAGAGCTGATGATTCCTCCGAGTACAGCTTTTTTGTATGTGGCTAGATTGAGGCCCTCAGGAAGTCTAGTTGCTGAAGTTGACAATCAAGAAGCTGCAAAAACAAAATCACAGTAGGAATTTGGAACGCATTAAGCATGAATCACAGCAAGCTGGAAGTAGTGAAGATGGTGAAAATGGATCGTCTACACAGCAACATCCTTGGGAGCAACGAGCTAAAAGGTCACTTTCAATCAGGGGAACATCTACTACTCGGGTCATGAACAACAAAGAAGAAATGGAGAGGTTTTCATTGTCAACGAGAATATCAACAAGACTGTAATCAGATGCAGTGCTGTGAATGATCCAGTGATGTCAATCCAATTTTGTGCATCTGTTTTGTTTGAGCTTAAAAAGTTCTTTAAATGCAATCATTTTCATCTGGAAAGATCTGAATTGTCCAGGCTGTGGTGGACAAAAAACAAGCGAGACAGGGAAAATAAAGATGCCTTCGAACTTTGGTGTTGGCGAAGACTTTTAAAAGTACCTTGGACGGCAAAGGTTATATTTATTAAACTATTTATTGTGTTCTAACAAAATTTTAATAAAAGAACAACCAGAATGTGTTATATTTTAAAAGTGGTTAAGAAATCTCAGATTTAAGGCACTTACCTCCAAGCTGGCTCACGCCAGGGTCTCAAAAGTAACTGGACGACTGACTGCTCTGCTGTTGCATGGCCAGGTGTGTGTTTATTCTCTCATTATTTTACTTACAGTTCAGCTGATAAAAGACCTAGAAAGATCTCAAGTGTGGGGTTTTTTGCTTTTAACTCTCAAAGTCCAAAGAGCTTCACTGCTCAGAGTTACTACAATGGGTTTAGCAAAAACATTTAAACCTCTAGTAAGCCAAAATGGGAAAAACCAGATTGGAGTCTATAAAAGCCTCTACAGTTCTGGAAGAGCATCTTAAGGACAGATGAGTCAATGATTAGCATGTATCAGAATGTTGGGAAGAGAAAAGTACGGATAAGGGAATGAGCTGCTCATGATCCAAAGCATACAACCACATCTGTCCAGCATGGTGGAGGTAGTGTTATGGTCTGGGCATTTATGGCTGCCAGTGGTTCATTTGTATTTATTGATGATGTGACTGCTGATAGAAGCAACAGGATGAATTCTGAAGTGTACAGAGTTCAATTTTCTGCTCAGATTCAGGCAAATGCTTCAAAACTCATTGAACGGCACTTCTGGTGCAGATAGACCATGACCCAAAGCACACTGTGAAAGCAACCTAAGACTTTTTTTTTTAAGGAAAATAAGTGGAATGTTCTCTGATGGCCAAGTCATTCACCTGACCTCAATCTAGTGGACATGCATTTCACTTTCTGAAGACAAAAAAACAAAAACAAAAAGCACCCCAAAAACATGCAGGAAATGAAGAAGGCTGCAGTAAAGGCAGGTCAGAGAATCCCCAGAGAAGAAAAACAATGTCTGGTGAGGTCTATGGGTTCCAGACTTCAGGCATTCATTGACTACAAAGGATTCGCAAACAAATAGTAGAAACAAGCATTTATTTTGTAATTAGCTTTAAGTGTTGTTTATCTGATGGGGGCAGTTTTGGTGTCTACCA